ATTGTGTGTTATCTTTGAAAGACTATTTAGCTTATTTCTAGTTAGTTTGTCTAAGAAAAGCGAAACTTATGATTTTAGGATTTTTGAAAATTCGCAAAAAATTCAGATAGTGTTGAGTGTTGAAATTCTAGAAGAGCTGAAAATTTTGGAAATTCTGTAAATTCTGAATTTTTTAAAACAATTTTCAAATTGATTTGTGTCATTTCTATGACGTCATTAGTTGAAAAAGAAAGCTACGAAAACTACACAAATAGGTACAAAAAATGGGTTCAAAAATCAAAAAGTTGTTTTTTTTTTCTTTTTTTCTTGAAATTCTGGATTTTTAAACATAAGAACTAGAAAACTTGTGAATTCAGTTTTTGAAAATTTCAAAAACCGAAAGTGTCCTAAAATTGAAAAAAAGTACCTTCAAATTGGCAAAATCGGACAACGATTTTCAAAATTTCAACAATTTTTTTTGCGAAATTTTGATTTTTTGAATCTCTGGAATTTTGAATTTCCGATTTCCCAAACTTCTGAATATATACACCGTAAATGCTCTAACAGAATACCACTTCAATATTCAAACACATAGTGTTGTTTTCCTAATGAAGACGAGACGTGCTCATTTATCTCGGTTCCTGGAAGTGATATCTGAAATTTGACAACAGATAAAATATTGGTGATGTTATGACAAAAAATGTTTAAGTTGACAAATTTTTGATATCCTCCATAGGAACCGAGATGAATCGGTTCAAAGTTAAAGATCCTTCAAAAGCTACGTTATCATTAAATACTTGTAACTTGAGCTCAGATATCTCGGATCCTGTGAAAGATATCAAAAATTGTCAACAGATAAAATGTTTATCATAACATCACAAAACATTTACCAGTTTCCAGATTTTTGATATCTCTCTTACAATTAGGAACCGAGATAAATTGGCTCAAAGTTATAAACCCTTCTATAACAAAACTACTCCCCACGCCTGTTTGAGCTGATTTATCTCGGCTCTTGTGAAAGATATCAAAAAATTTTCAACAGATAAAATGTTGATAATATTATGATAAACATTTTATTCGTTGACCACTTTTTGATATCTCTTGAGGAAACTGAGATAATTGAGCTCGAAACTTCTCTACTTTCATTGAAAAATGTTCATTCTAATGAAAAA